GTCACCAACCCAAACTTGAACAATAATACACAATAGTGTCTCACTGAATCAGACTGAAATGGAGCAAAATTTTGAAAAGGGGATAATGCATATAAAAAAATGATGAGAAAATTTGACAGAGACATGAAATAACACCAAGAAAATGAAAGGATTTCAAGTAATAAAATTTTCAAGATAACAATGCTCTTGAATAATAATTTACCAATCCTCACAGATTACAAATGTTAGTTGCAGTTTTTCTTTAACATCACTACATTCTCTCTCAATCATGTACATACACATACACATACACACACACACACACACACACACACACACACACACACGGAGGAAATCTCTTCCCCTTCAGAATCTCAGAGTCTTTTTGCTGCTTCCAAACTGAATAAAAATCCTACTATAGAACCTTTCCTTCATTCCTACTCTAAATCTATCCCTCTTTCCTATCCTTCATCAAAGGTTACTTGAATCTATATGTCCCTTTTTCTCATGTCTTTACCAGATGTCTACCTGTCAACAATTTATTCAAAGTGATTAATGACTAATCAGAATGAAATGACTTATTCTTCTCAGAAGAAATTAATTTTTAGAGGTCTTTTGGAAATTAAACATCTTTGACTAAAGGTATTAATTTCGTGTTAAAACTTAGGCCCCACAGGAGACTGTTAAGGATGATACCTTGTGTAGAATGGGCTTTCCTTTAAGTCTCCAAAGCCAAAGTACTCCAGCAACCCCTGGTTTTATGGAGCAGAGTTCTAGCTGGACTTGATTATTCAAGCCTCAGGGCAGAGACAGGATGGACCTAAATCCTCACAGAATATCTTCTATGGATTTAATATTAAGTAAAGAGAACTGAGCTCATCCCTAGATAAACTTTTTCCCTTCTACATGTCTCAGAGGGACTGAGTGTCACATCATCAGTTGCTTGAACCTATGAATTAACACTACTGCATAGGTTGAGAATTTGGTACTTCTTATTAATTGTAGTATTCATGTGTTAATATGCAATTCCTCTAGTTGGATTTAATGATACAAAGCTAGGGCTCTTTCCCCCTTTGCCAATGCTGGAGTAGTCCTGAGAAGCTATTGGTTTCAAGTTAATAAAAAAGGCCCTAGCTGGTTTGGATCAGTGGATAGTCAGACCTAAGGGCACATTCCAGTCAAGAGCATATATCTCCTACCTTGGATGGGTTGCAGGCTCCTCCCTGAGTGGGCACACCCTGGTCAAGACACCCAATCAATGTGTTTCTCTCACATTAATATTTCTCTGTCTTTCTCTCTCTTTTCCATTCTCTAAAAATCAATGGTAAAATATTATGGGGTGAAAATTAAAATAATAGTTGCTGAAAATAAATTAGTATATCTAGAACTTTATTTTCCACTGAGTCTTACTTGGTATTTGTTTCAAATATCTATGTTAAAAATGCCGACACTAACAGACTCTGACTCTTTCTTCTTCAACAAAGCATTTAAATTACAGTCAACATTCTGGGTTCTGGCACACTGTCACCAGGAAATGTCTATTGATTGGAGCTTCAGATAGTACCATCATAGACATCTCTCATGATAACCCTGAAGAACAGTATAAACTGGATATTCAAAGTAAACTTCATTCATTATAGTTTTATATTTAAGTATTGTTTACTGAATTCCCATTCTCTGGAAGTGGTACAAAGCATATTATTTATAGATTAAGTGGGACATCTGATTCTTCAATCCTGCTGAATTTATAAAAACATCACCACCAAAACATGGACTTTTGAAACACCCACTAGGCCCACTATAGCTTTCTTTGATGCAGTGTCACCTTTAAAGCACTTACTCATGAGCAAGTGTGACTAACACATGGGTGACACCACTATGCTTAGAGATAAGTAGTCATTTATATCTCTAAGGTATTTTGACATCAGAATACACACAGGTTGACAAATGTGGCATGAGCAGTAATCATTTACCAACTTTGTCACAGAAAATGAACAGGGTGTGGGCTATCTTTTGGCAATGCTGTCAGTGTTTCATATACTACATAACTTGGACCTCCAACTGTGTTTAATTAAGAGAATATTCTAAACACTAATTAGCTGCATTTAATTTTTAAAGCAATTTACAGTTCATAGTTTAAAGGGGAAAAAAACGAAAAACAATAGACATGGTCTCTGTGCAATATAATTAATGTTTGGGAAGCAGTCACTGGAGCACAGCATAATGAGGTTGACAAGTCAGGAGCCCTGATATTTCTACACAACATCACAACTCAAACATCATTTTAAAAAGCACTGAAAATTAAATGTGGCACATCAAGTATACTGAACTGCAGTGCCAGTTGTGTGTGTGTATGTGTGTGTGGGGAGAATCTGCTAATTAAAGTTTGCAGTCTCTAATCATAATCAGGATATAAGTTAGAAAGAATGGTGTACAAGCTGACACAGGGGAAAACATAAAAAGAGGTAATCACTGTTAATTTTTACAATAACAATATTAATAATAGCTGGACTCAAAATCTTATATATGTTAAATAAGAAATTCTTTCATGTTTCTTTCTTATATCCCTTTTTCCTTGTAAATGAAAATGAAATATTAAGGTATGCAATTTATGTGAAAAAGGCTAGTCCAATGGTATCATAGCACTTTTACTTTTGACTTTTTTCATGAATCTTTCTGAGCATGATGGTCAGGGTGACCTTTTTCCTCTTAATTAAGAAATGAAATAGAGTTGTCACTATCATATAATAACTAAACCTTATGCTGAGGAAAAAATTTGAAAGCCATGATTCTTTCAAGCGTGGAGGCTTCTGTACTAGGATTTACTTGATCAGACAACATTCTCTTTGAGGCATTTTCCTATGAAATACTTGAATGCTTCCCTCTGAATACAAGCCAATTTAATGCTCAATAACCTTCGAAGCAACCATATTGTTTGCAGCTTTGAATTCTTAGAGAATATTTAAATGACTTTTCTATGAAACAAGGATCCTCCCAATAGATGTGTCTCAGATCTCTCAGCAATGGAACTTCTTAAGCTGTTACATACCTTCTCACTCTTCAATGAATTTAACAGCATATGCAGCCCCCCCATGCCTTCACTACATTCTTTTTCTAGACCTGGGTTCCTTATAAATCCATGACCTTGAAAGGTCTAACATTTGCCTAAGTTTCTGCTATACTCTGCCTTACCTGTTGCTCAAGATATATTTTGAATGCAAAATTGAGATCCCATGATAACTATATTAAATGCCATCTTCAACATATAAGAAATTCCAACAGGATGTCCATGATCACAAAATCTCTATAGTTAACCAATTTTTTGTTTAAATCCAATGGCTTTCCTATTTAACTTATGATTATAACCTCACTATATTAACCTACCTTAATTAAAGAATCTATAATAATAAAAGCATAATATGCTAATTAGATGGAATATCCTTCTGGACAACCTTCTGAACAAAGCCAGGGCTGCAAGGGTAGCCCTGGTCATGGGTGCCAAAGGGAAGCTGGGGAAAAGAAAGCCTACTCTTGCATGAATTTCGTGCATCAGGCCTTTAGTGCAATATAATGAGAAAAGTTATATACTGGAAATAGGTGTTCATCTAAACATTTTTTTTAGAGAATTCAAAATACTGGGGAAGAAATCCAATAGGTTAAAGTAGGTAAATAGTTCTATTTTGATACAGCCACTTGATTTCAATTATGCCACCATTAAAAGTAAAGGCAAATTATGTAAATACTTGAAAATATGCTTATGATATGTTAAGTGGTGGAAAAATAAATATACCTTATTGTTTATAACTAAGCCAAAGCAGATCTGTGCATTAAAAACACTAAGTAAAACACCTAAAAAGGAATAAATGAAAATTCATAAAAATGAAAGCAGTTAAGTTGAAATTATGATTGATATATATTATCCACAAGCTTTCCATCACATGCACAAAGCTTTTCTTAAATTTAAAAGTTTAGCCCTGGCCAGTGTGGCTCATTTGGTTGGGTACTGAAAAGTTACCAGTTTGATTCCCAGTCAGGGCACATGCCTGGGTTGCCTGCTGGATCCCCAGAAGAGGGCACGTGGGAGGCAGCTGATGGATGTATTTATCTTTCCCTTTCCCTTCCTCTCTCTCAAAAAATAAAATTTTTAAAATACTTTTTAAATTTTTTCTATGAAGCTGCCTTAAAAGACACTAATTCAATTTTCAGCTAATATTGTATACTTCCTAACTTCTTTTACATTCCACTCACCAGAATTTTAGAACACCTACAGGACTATGAACTCTGGATGATTAATTCAAGCATTTACACTAACATCAAGTTTTGCATTGTTCTGCACAATCTGAAAATTCCTGTACACATTAAAGTTCAAAAGTGGCAGTTATTTTTTTAATTGTCTGATTGGTTCAGGATAATAGATTTGTTTCTTATTGATTAAAAATTCCTTGGGGGGGGGGAGCAGTAGTTTCCACATAACAATGTTTTAATCAATGATGGACTGCATATACAGTCCCATAAGATTAAAATAGAGGTGAACAATTGCTATTGGAGAGTGATGTCACAGTACAATGCATTGCTCATATGTTGGTGATGATGCTTGTATATAGTAATGGGCCTGACACTGCGCCCTTCTCCAGCCTTGCATCATGATTAGGGTCAGGGCAGGGGGCAGGAGGCAACTGCAGTTGCACTCTGAGTTCCATCCTTAGCCAAATTTTGGTTGCAACTCATGGCTTTTCCTGGATGCTCAGAGGTCCTTTGCATGAGTGTGCCCACAGCTGCCTTGTTGGGCATATCTCCAGCCCAGAGCCTATGCCTGCCTCCTGCAAGCCTGGCCCCAGGCACAACAGGCCCCCCTCAGGACTCAGCGCTTGCTCCTGGTTTCATGAGACTGTGTTTCTTCCCTGGTGTGGCTGATCTGAGTTTCACAAAATAGTCTGGTCAGTGCTGGTTGTGCTGAGCCTCATTGAAGAGTTTTTCATGCAGCAATGAAGAGCCCTGTGGGACCCTCCTTCTTCACCCTCTCATCTCCTCCTCCTTCTCGTCCTCCTCCCAGCCCATGGCCACTTCTTCTCCAACTGCTCCAGGAGTGGGTTTCCTTCTGAGTCAGGGGTCTCAATGCTGTCGGTACTGATGATGCAGGTGGGGTGATGCTGGTTGAGCATCAGGATGAGCTGCTGCCTTTCCTGCTTCAGCTCCTCCATTTGAGTTTTCAGCTCCACATTCATGAGCTCCAGCCACTCAGATTCACGCTGCAGAAGCTCCATCCTCTCCTTGTTCCAGCATTGGGCTGCCACCACTTTGTTCTTTTCCCAGCACCTTTTCCTCCGCTCCTCTTCCTCATCTAGCTTACTTTTCACCTGTTGAGGCCTTAGGCCCAGTTTTACCTCCAGGAACTGCAAAGGGGCTCACCACTACCTTCTCCAAAGCCTCCTCTGCACAGTACTGAGGCTGTCCTGGAGGGTGCAGAGGCTAGGTAAGAGAGACAATGACAGGATTTGGACCATTGGAGCCACCATATCCGCCTCTCCTCTCTCAGCCTTTCTCTGCATGGCTGGAGAAGGCGGGGCCAGCAACTTCCAGCAGCACTGAGCTTCTGAATAGGCCAAGGTTTGCAGCGCTAGCTCTTTGTACACTGGAAATGCTGCATTGTCTCCCTTTCCAGAACCACTGTCAGCCCCAAGGTTATAGGGCTGCCCTGGAAGTCCTCTTCACACCTCCCATCCATGCCAAACATGGCAGTAGACTTAGTGATGGAACTTCTATTTTTAGATAATTTTAAACACACCAGCACTGAGGTAAGACTTCACTTCTTGATTCTGACTCTGCTTCAGGATTATGGGACATGTACAAAAAATTTTTAGGCATACTTCAAATTTCCCTCCTGCCAGTGGCTTTAAATTCTGCATGTACACATCCTGTCCCCCGAGCTGAGTGTGGGCACCATGTCTGTGGGAGAGCATCGTGGCCGGGGCATTTCTCTGCTTTATCTTAGGCTCCTGCATCTTTGGTTGAGTTGGCTGGTTCTGCTTTCTTTGCTCCCCTGCTGCCTTACCCCTGTCAACTTTGGGACTTGAAAATATCTTGGTTCTCAGGTTTAGCACAGGTGGTGTTTGGGAGGGTCTCAGACTGCCTGTATTTGACAGCATTTCTGGATACTGAGCAGGTCATGATGGCTTTGTGATTCCTAAATTTCTTCTTCCAGGTCCTTTTTCTAACAGGAGTTAGGTTGCCTAGATATGACACTCATTCAGTTTAGAATTCACCCATTAGGACATGATATATTTGCATGGAATGGCTTTTATGTGGAGGGTACCTGAGAGGATGGGAATCAGTGGTGAAAGGAACCAATGGTGGATTTGGAACCCCCAGACAGGGAACCTCGCTCACTCCCCACATCTCCCCACTGTACTCCCTGCATGTCTCCCTCAGCAGCGGGCCTGGGCAGGCTAGGCTCCATGGCTCCGGCCAATGCTGCCATCTTTGTGGCTATGGGCACTGCCATCTTTGTCATGGAGTGACAGTTAATTTGCATATTGTCCTTTTATGAGATAGCATATACACTGAGTGGTCAGATTATTATCCATTCAGAGATTGTAATAATCTGGCCACTCAGTGTATATCAACATGTTTATTCTTTCCCAGTTAACTTCCTGATCAAAATAACAGGGTTTGTTTGTTTGTTTTTATAGAAATTGATAAGTTGATTCTAAAATTTAGTTGACAAACAAAAGAGTCAGAATAGATAAAACGATTTTGAAAAGGCTACAAAGTTTCAATTATAGAAGATAAATAAATCCCAGATACCAGGAATTCTGCTTGGGTCTCCGGGGGGGGTGGCTGGCCTGCCATCCACCACAGGCCTCTCACCCAGGGCACCTCATATCCCGAGGGAACCCACACCCTAATCCAGGATATCCTTCATGGCAAACCAGCCAGCCCCCACCCATGCACCAGGCCTCTATCATATCTAATAAAAGAATAATATGCAAATTGACTGTCCCTCCAACATACAAGATGGCTGCCCCCATGTGGTCAAAGATGACTGACCCCATGTGGACACAAGATAGCCACCACAAGATGGCCAGCAGGGGAGGGCTGTTGTGAGAGACCAGGCCTGCACAGGAGAGTAATTGTGGGCTATCAGGCCAGCAGGGGAGGGCAGTTGGGAGTGACCAGGCAGAGCAGTTGGGGGGAGAGGGGGAACCAGGCCTGCAGGGGAGAGCAGTTGGGGGTGACCGAGCCTTCAGGGGAGGGCAGTTAGGGGTGACCAGGCCTGAAGGAAAGGGCAGTTAGGGGCAAACAGGCTGGCAGGGGAGAAGTTAGGCATCAATCAGGCTGGCAGGGGAGTGATTAGGGGGTGATCAGGCTGGCAGGCAGAAGTGGTTAGGAGCAATCAGGACAGCAGGCAGGCAGGAGAGCAGTTGGGAGCCAGCAGTTGTGCATTGTGAGAGGGATGTTCAACTGCCCCTTTAGGCCCAATCCTACCAGGTAGGATTGGGCCTAAAGGGGCAGTCGGACATCCCTCAAGGGGTCCCAGATGGGAGAGGGTGAAGGCTTGGCTGAGGGACACACACCCCCGTACACGAATTTCATCACTGGACCTCTAATATATATATAAAAGCTGACTATGTGCTATGTCTTAGAAAGGTGATGTTAAGTTTTTAAAATCCCCTGTAATATACTTCTTTAGGACTCTTTAAAATACAATTAAATAAAATGTAGTATAATATATAGCCTTCTGAATAAGAGAAGGGTATAGACCAATGGTTGGCAAACTGCAGCTCACGAAGCCACATACAGCTCTTTGGCCCCTTGAGTGTGGCTCTTCCCTAAAATACCACGTTTAGGCGCTCACATAAAGTGCGATTGAAACTTCGTGTCCCATGCGCAGAAGTTGGTTTTCGGCTCTCAAAAAAGAAATTTCAATTGTTGTACTGATGATATTTAGCTCTGTTGACTAATGAGTTTGCCGATCATTGGTATGGACTATAATATTTTTTATCCTGAGATGTCCCATCACATGCTCCCCTTCCCAGTATCAAGAGAATTACATTCAATGTGGCTACTATATGTGCTGCAAACAAACATTTCATAAAAATACATTGTGACAAATTTTATCCCAAAAACAATTTTAATTCAAATCCTAGTTAATTAATCAAATTTCACAGTACCATGCATCTCATTAGGCTTAGCCATTCGTCTTAGCCCAAAAAGAGCTTGAGGTTTTGCTCTAGAGAACCAACAAAGCTAATATAAAAGTAAGGAAAGATAGCAATAGATGATAATTCTTACTTTTAACAATTACTCATCAAAGCTGACACAACACAGAGGTGGAGTAGGCAGCTGTCTGTATGTTGTCAGTTCTGAGATGTGTACATCACCACCTTCCACTTCACTCCCACACTGCAGATTGCCTTGATACAGGCTTTTTCATCCTCAAGATTCATGTCTTTGCCTTAAGGGAATATCTCCAGAATTGCTCCATTAACATGCAAATAAGCTATGTAGGAGGGGTGACACATTAACATACTCACAGTAATTATCTGCTGCTATAATCCTATCAGGATTAATTTATCAACTGTCCAGCAGAAATAAAAGCCCTGAGGATATCAAATGTAAGAAAGATACAATTTAATGTGGGTGGAGCCAGGGATGAGCTAAATTGCCCAAGCCTAGGTAGCACACCATGGTTGGAGGGTTTGAACAACAAAGGAAAAGTATTAATTCACTCAACTAGCAGTCTTCTACTAACTGCCTATAACCTGACAGCCACTAAGGTTAAGAACAAGAATAAATTCATTTTTAACCTTCCTCACAAACACAGAAAATAAGTTGGTGCCTGGAGTGAAAGGGAATGTGTCTCCCTCATAGCATTCTATTAAGGTCTGAATGTAACTGCATGTTAAGTGCTTAATATAATGCCTGGCACAAATTGGTTCTGGTACCAATTCCAATGTGTTTTGGGGGAGGGTTCCCCACCATAGCAAGCACATTTCAGGACACCAGCTAGGTGTCCTATAATTCAATTCAAGTATAGTTATTTACCTGGAGAAATCATCAAATTCCACAGGTTAGGGGTTAAGTCCTACAAGACTCTCCTCTTCACGCCCCCTCTCCCTCACTTCATATGCCACTCTCAAGTTCAGATGTTACCTGTACTTCTAAGGGACTGGCAGGTTCAAAAGACCCAGATTTGATTAATTTACTATAATGGCTCACAAAACTCAGAGAAATATTTTAATTACTATATTATTAGTTTATTATTATAAAAGGTGAGATGGGAGGGAGGCAAATATATATTTCACTCCCACATAGGAATTTTGTATAGTACTATCTCTGGATAAAGAGGCATTTCCTACCCTTTCTGTGTCTTCCCTGAAATATCTGGAATATATTTTTCTGAAAGCAACTATGCAGCAACCATCTTTTTTTCTTCCCAAAGGAGTGACCAGTAGCAGGAATTTGGGCCAGTCATAGTGGGAGATGGCTAGGGCTGGAGAAGAGCATCTCACCACGGAAGGCTATCTACATTTAAGGTTGGCTCATCTATCTTCTTGTGGATCCATATTTTTGTGAGAGTGTGAGTGTTGTGGTGTGTGTGTGTGTGTGTGTGTGTGTGTGTGTGTGTGTAAGAGAGAGAGAATTCAAATTCATGTAGCAAAGCAATTCTCATGATTATTTCTATCAAAATTTTCACATTCTCAGTCAAATGATAGATTGAAAATGGATTTTATTCCACTTATCATCCTGCATCCACCCTCATCCTCATCCCTGAATCTGGGACCAATCACAAAGTAGGCAAGCAGAATTATTAAAAAGTTCTAAGTGACTCAAATGTGTGGTATCAAAGTAGCCTTGCTGCTAGACTTGCTCTAACCCTATGAATCCTTTTAGTGTTTCAGCATTGCTCCTTTATAATTAAGCCCTATCCTTGACCCTAGTTCCAGGAACTAAGAATTGCTTCTTTATAACACTACTAGAGGCCTGGTGCACGAAATTCATGCACAGGGTGCAGGGGTCCCACAGCCTGTCCTGAACCATCTTGCAATCCAGGACTACTCTGGGGATGTCCGACTACCATTTTAGTCCCGATCCTGGCTAAGCTGGTTGGACATCCCTCTTTCAATCCTGGACCATTGGATCCTAATTGCCCACCTACTTGCCTGCCTGATCGCCCCTGACCACTCTGCCTACCTGCCTCATCACCCCTAACCACTAACCTGCCTGCCTGATTATCCCTAACCACCTCTGCCTGCCTGATCACCCCTAACTGTCTCTGCATCCGCCCTTGCTGCCTCAGCTTAGTCTTGAATGACATCCTGAATGACGTTTGGAAAGTCATTCAGCTGTCTAATTAGCATATTATGCTTTTATTATTATAGATTGACTAAAGCTACAG